GATAAGCGGGACTCTGGGGAGGCAGCAAGAGAATCCACAACACACACACACACACCTCATTTACTTCTCATGACACTCTAGGAGGCAGGCGCTACTCCTCCCGTTTGATAGGAAGCTGCTATCACTTGCATAAGGAAATCTGGCTCATGCTGAGGCATGGAGGAGCTCGAATTTGAATCCAGGTCTGCTGAGTCCCAAGTCCACTACTCCCTTTCCTCCTCACCTCATCCCAGGAAGGAGACTCTTTCTGGGTCACATAATCAGGTAATACCCATTCCTGTAAATCCTGGACAGAGTCTGCTCTCAACAGGAAAGAACTGACCTCTACCAGGTCCTCTACCGCCTGGAGCTGCTGATGGGGACACAGCCGTATCTGAGAATTATACCTCATTCTCAGGCCACCCTGGCAAGTCTGGTACAAAAGTAACCCAAGGTCCAAGCAGGGAGAGGGAGTGTGATCATTTGTAAAAGCTAAAGCAGCTATGCGAAAATTTCTGTGGAGACTTGCAAAAACCAAACAATGGAGCATGCATTTGCAGAAAAAACTTCAAGCCCATAGAGCTGCTGTGAAAGTTCTCAAAAAGGGACACAGTCAGCTAATACATACCCTAGGGGAGCCTCTGTCTCAGCTGCGGTTTCTAAGTAAAGAAGATGGTATTTCAGGAGAAGTGTTACATTAAAGAGCAGGTTTGTACTATGATTTGAATGTTCTGAGCCAGGCATAGTGACTCATACCTGTAATCCCACCACTTTGGGAGGCCAAGATGGGCAGATCACTTAAGGTCAGGAGTTCAAGACCAGCCTGGCCAACATGGTGAAACCTTGTCTTAAAAATAAAAAAAAAAAAAAAAAAAAAATCAGCTGGGTGTGGTCATGGGCACTTGTAACCCCAGCTACTCGGGAGGCTGAGGCAGGAGAATCACTTGAACCCAGGAGGTGGAGGTTGCAGTGAGCCAAGATCTGGCCACTGCACTCCAGCCTGGGCGATAGTGAGACTCTGTCTCAAAAAAAAAAAAAAAAAAAGATTGGATGTTCTGGAAGCAAATGTTTTCCAGAAATGGCTTCCCACTGATATTCAGAGCCTTGCATATAACAGGTGCCCAATAAACATTTGCTGATTGGGTGAACCTTGTATTTAACTGTATTTACAAAAAATATTTTATGCCATTTAGAGTGTTTATCCTCTGAATCCTCTAGTGGCTGTGAAAGCTTCATTTTACCCAAAAGTTGATGTCAATCATTAATCCAGTAGGGTTGGGACAATACAATTTCTGCAGTTGATGAGACAATACATTGTGAAAGGGTGTTCGTGTGTGTGTGTGTGTGTGTGTGTGTGTGTGTGTGTGTGTGTGTGTCGTGAGTCCAAGCAGCACTCCAGGGAAAAGAGGAAGGAAATATATAGGACTTTCATCATTAAAGGCTAGAAGCCAGTAGGGTCCCACTGAGCTGTAGGGAGCTATTGGTACCAGAAAAGTCTACTTTTCAATAAAATCAGCATGAATCATATCCCATATGTTTCTTACACGTGGTAGTTTGTAAAAAGGCCACAATACTTTGCAGCCTTTCCCACCAACAGGTAGAGGCTATTTCCCCATTCCTTGATTCAAGGCTGGTCCTGTGACTGGCTTTGGCCAACAGAATGTGTTGGAAGTAGATGTGTGTTTATTTCAAGCCTGGACCTCAAGAAATCTTGCAACTTCTGCTCTTGTTGCTCTGGGAACCCTTCTCCTACCATGTGAACAACCTGGAGCTAGCCTGCTGGAGGCGGAGAGACCATGTGGAGCACAGGTGACCCTCCCAAACCAACCGGCCCATTGCTGATCTGGCAGCGTATTGCTGCTGCTAAAGTGATCCTAGGCAACGCCAGAAGAACCACACAACTGAACTCAGCTAAACTGCCGACCCACCAAATCATTAACTAGATAAACATTTGTTGTTTTAAGCCACTAAGATTTGAGGTGTTTGTTATGCAGCAAAAACTAACAGATACACTATAAGAAATCTAACTGCAATTGCAAATTTGTTCACATTAAGATTGGCTCATGCCACTGGCTAGACTTAATTAATCTCAGAGAATTTTGATATCTTCTTCATAAAGTCCTAAGTTAGGGAGACCCTCTGGGTCACAGCATAAAAGATTTAGAAGGACCCTCAGGAAGTCCAACCACCTTGTTCCGCTGTTAGGAACACTGAAGTTCAGAGAAGAGCAGGGGCTACCATCACGCATTACACAAATATTTTCTGAGTGCTCTCGGTGTTCCAGACACTATGCCCCACTGGGATACATAGCATTGGACCAGAGAGACCAGATCCTTTCCCCATGGTGGTCAGTTTAGGGTGGAAATCAGGCATTAACTAAGTCATCACAAGATAAGTAGACCACAGTGACAAACATCATGAATTAAAAAGACCTGGTGCCATTTTAATGAGAATCATGGAAAGGGGACCTCACGTGGGTTTGGCAGTCACAAAGAGCTCTCTGTAGAAGTGACATTTAGGCTGAGGCAAGTCAGTGGACAAGGCAAGGGAAGCTTGTGGAGCTCTGAGTCTGAGCTTCACAAGTTCGAATGCCAGCTCTAGTGCTCCCTGGCTGAGTCACCTTGATTGAATCAGCCAGCATCCTGGATCTTCAGTTGCATTATCTATAAAATTGACTGAATAATGACTACTCATTCTCAAGGCTGTTGTGAAGATTAGCTGAAATAACCATCGAGAAAAAGGTTTTGCAAGCTGCAAAGTGTTGGGGGGAATTGTTGAGGATATGACTTTTAATGGTTTGGGGAGGGTGACATTTATTTGTACTAAGTCTCCTCTCCAAAGTACTGTGCTCCCATCTGCCCAGACCTAGAGCAGACACACAGCCCCACTGAGTCCCACTTTCCCTTCTTGGTGGAAGGACATTGCCAATGCTTTCCAGAAGGTTCCAGAACAGAATTCACCATAATATAGTTCTGAAAACCAGGGCTCAATATGTTAACAAAAATACTATCTAAACATTGTGAAAAGGCTCAGATGAGATGCCAGGGCTAACTCTGGTCTGCTGAGATGACATTTCAGTTGATTATGTACAATTAAATGACATCAGTGGATTCTTCCAAAATAACCACTTTCAGGGCCTGGAGTCTTGCCCACCAGTCTTGCATGTTGGTGCATGTCAATGCAATATAAAGGCAGCTTTGCAGCAGCGGCATGATGCTCACACAGGGACAGGCCAGAGAGGGGCATGGTATGGTGGCCCTGGCATGAGCGATCCTGCAGTGGCAGGGGAGGGGGCGCAGCACCCTGCAGCAGAGCTTCCATGCCCCACTAAGACTACAGTATCTTCCTCACTAGTAGTGCCCCCTAGGGCCACGGGCCCTTGTCTTACTCGTCTATGGCCTCCATGGGACCTGTCACAGAATAGGGACATAAATATGTGTGAGTTAATAGGCTTCTACTGCCCCAGCTGGAAAATATGTGCCGGGCCTGATGGCTGAGGGGCCACCCAACTTGGACTGCCATAGCCCCCACAATGGTAGAGACAGAGGGTGAGGTCAGCTCCAGGACCGGGGTTGCCCTCCCATTTCCCAAGTTTCTCAAGCAACTGTAACCCTCCTTGGCTCTCCAATCAGTGTCCTGAGCTGGTCCCACCCAGCAAGCTCCACTGCCTTAAGGAACCATCCTCCACGATGCCATGCCTGCAATGAGAACACTCCCTGGTATCCCATTCTGTCATTGAGGACCCTCCCTGGGGCTCCCGCCTGCACTGAGGACCCTCCCTGGGGCCCCCGCCTGCACTGAGGACCCTCCCTGGGGCTCCAGCCTACAGTGAGGACCCTCCCTGGGGCCCCAGTCTGCACTGAGGACCCTCCCTGGGGCCCAGCCTACAGTGAGGACCCTCCCTGGGGCTCCTGCCTACACTGAGGACCCTCCCTGGGGCTCCCGCCTGCAGTGAGGACCCTCCCTGGGGCTCCCACCTGCACTGAGGACCCTCCCTGGGGCTCTAGCCTACAGTGAGGACCCTCCCTGGGGCCCCAGTCTGCACTGAGGACCCTCCCTGGGGCCCAGCTTACAGTGAGGACCCTCCCTGGGGCTCCGGCCTGCACTGAGGACCCTCCCTGGGGCTCCTGCCTGCAGTGAGGACCCTCCCTGGGGCCCCAGTCTGCAGTGAGGACCCTCCCTGGCATCAATCAGATTCTGCAGGGATGACCTTCCCCAGGGTCCTGACCTGCAGTGAGGACCCTCCCTGATCTCAGCCTGCAGTAAGGACTCATCCTGGGATCCCAGCCTGCAGTGAGGGCCCACCCTGGCATCACGTTCTGCAGGGAGACCCTGCCTGGACCCTCAGCCTGCAGCGAGGACCCTCTGTGGCATCACAGTCTATAGTGAGGATGCTCCCAGCTGAGAGAAACATTAATTTTCAGAGACCAGGCTCTCAGTGGAAAATCTGATTCCAACTGGCATCTGTGACCCCCAACGGGCTGGGGGTCCAGCCTTGCCTAGGAATGACTCTGCTTCCTTTGCTACCGGCAAGGCCCTCACAGGAAGCCTCTGCTCTCCTCCCTTGTGCCCTGTCCACAACCCTCCCCTGTGGCCTTCAACTCCCAGCGGGCAGGAGAACCACGCATGCCTATGCATGGGTGTGTGCATCCAAACCAGAACATGTCCCCGTGGTTGCTGTGTGGTGGCAAGAGGCAGGCGGCACCAGGGAGCAGCAGGCACCTCAACTCACTGCTGCTGAAAAGCTGCCCCAAGCGTGGGGAGTGTGGGCAATACCTTTCAAGTTTCATCCAGTTCCCAAACCATTTTAAGCCAAGAGTAGCCAGGTAGCTGGTTTACAGAGAACACTATAGTCCCACTTCGATTGTGCCTTTTAAGGATTTGCTATTTGCTATTCTTGATCATTCAGAGAAGACAGCAGCAGGGTGTGCTGGCCCCCACTCTGCACCCCCGACTCCACTCAGGAAGAGCTCGGCTCCAGCCAGCCCAAATCTTAAGTTCAGGAAGGATGGGGCACCCACCTGGCTGGTTGACAGGAGCTCTGGGTTTCCGTCACTCATCCCCACGTAGGCACTGTCACCATCAAACTAGAATAGAGAGAGAGGGAGAAGCAGCTCTGATTAAAATGCTCTCAGGAAGGCACCAGGAGAAGCAGTCCGAGGAAGGCAGGACGAATGCAGGGGACTGTGGGGGCTGCAGAAGCCAAATCAGAGCCCAGGATGCCCAAGGCCCCATTTCAGCAGGGCTACCTCCAGGGTGGAAGGAGCAGCCCCTGTTCCATGGCCCTCAAGTGTTCAGGTTCATGCTGTTAATCACATTTAGAATGAAAACAGGAAAACCTTTCTGCCCTCTATAACTTATCCATAGACACAGCAGGCTGCCTTGTCAGGTGCTGAGCTGCCCATTCTTGGAAGTATGCAAACACCTCCCTTGACGAAAACGATATCAGGTGATCAGCTAAAGCTGATCCCGTGTGCTGGGGAAGGCCAAGAACACCAGAGCCTTGGGATCATGACAGCCTTCCCCAGACATGCCCTCCAGGTCCTGCCATCCTGAGTGGTTTTGGCCCATCACCTATGCCATCCCAGCCCCTAGGGCCACGCCTGGCTACAGTAAGTGAGGACTCTGGTAGAGACCATGTACAGGAACTACATCCTGTGTGCAAAGAAGGTGCTAAGTCTGGATTCAGGAAGATTTCCCTATAAATCTGCCTAAAAATTCAGGAGCAGGTGCCGGGGAAGAGATGTGGGCTCTGGGACCCCCGTCTCCCTCTTTGCCCTGAAGTGTGATCTCAAGCTGGTGTCTCAACTTCTGAGATTCCTCATCTGTTAGATGAGGGTGATGCCTGTAGGCCCCTCTTCATAGGATGTTGCACTGTAGGGCACTTGACTCAACACATTAACAGGGAGAGCACTTAATTCCAGTTAGTTCCCTTCCTTTGAGCTAGGTGTCTTAGATAGGGTTCCCTAGAAGCAGAGCCTGAGGCAAGGGTTCAGATGCATGTGGTTATTAAGTGCTCCTTAGGAATAACCTGTAAGTGTGGGGGGCAAGCCAGACAGGAGTGGGTGCAGCTAAGCAAGGATGTGGTCTTGGCTGAAGACGTCCTTCAGCCTGTTCTGGTGGGGAGCTCTAGGGCATGAATTGTACTGCAGAGTTAGTTCCAACACGAAGCAAGGGGTGGCTGTTGTCGCCCAGGTAAGGAAGTCATCTGCCATGGGCTGCCCTCAGGGGATAACCTTCTAAGCAAGGTGGCCCCCAATTGGCCAAGGACAATTCTTCAGAGAACTATACTGCCTGTGAGCCATTTGTAGGCAGCTCCTGCTCAAGGCGGGTGGGAGATGTCTGTGCTGGTCAGTAAAGGGTTCTGGGTGGGGCACCAATAGCAAACAGCCATTTTATTGTAATTGAACCATTTATTTATTAAGACATATTCACATGGTTCAAAATTCCAAGAGTACAAAAAGCAACACCACCCCACCTCCCAGCCATCCACTGCCCCTCTCCAGAGGCAATGTCTACCAGCTTTTTTATATCCTTTCAAAGACTGTCTACATACACACATTTTAGAGTCATTTATTCTATTCAGACAGCATGCTATACAGCTTTGCACTTTATTTTTCTCTTAGCAACACATCTTAGAAAACGTTTTACATCAGAACATAATTCTTTCTTCTGTATCCAGTATTCCACAGTATGGATATAACACATATATTTAACCAGTTGAGCACATGGGTAGTTTCTAGTCTTCTGCTATCCCAATATTGCTCCCATAAATATTTCTGTGCATCCGTCATTGAGCACGGGTGTGAGTTTATCTGTAGGATTCATTTGTGTAATTGCTGGGTCCAACTGTATGTGCATTTGTAATTTAGACAGACATCACCCAGCTGCCCTCACAGAGGCTGCAGAAATCCACACGCCCACAAACATGTGAAATGTCAGTGTACCCAGCCCCCTTCACTCAGAAGCTTTGCTTGACAACTGGCTCAGATGCCAGCCCCAGCCCCTGTGGGCTGAGAGCCCACCACCCTTTCTACCACCACTTTCGATGTCCTCGCCCCGCCTTCCCTTGGTCTTTGTTCCATAGCCCCTATTACCTTCTAGCATTCTCTGTATTCACTATATTCATTGCTTACTGTTAGATTCCTCCTACTAAAATGGAGGCTCCCAGGGATCAGGGATCTTTGTCTATCTGTACCTTGATGCCTCCCAAGCTCCTAGAACAGTGCCTGGCACAGAGAAGGTACTCAATAAATGTTTGTTGAATAAATAAATAAAGCAGCCACTACCACATTCAGATAGCCTCTGACCAGGCCTATCTTCCCATCTAGGCAGCTGGGTTGATGGTTACACCAAAGAGCCTCCTCAGCACAGGGATGGGGAGAGTCCCTCAGTGACTGCTGGATGATTAAAAGAAAAGGCTGTTCCATGCCTGGAGTTTGGCCACTGACCCCGAATGCAGGACTCCATCCAGCACACTGCACCCAAAGCTCATGCTGCAAGACCCTGCTTAGAGGCTACCTCCTCCAGGAGGCCTGCCATGCTCTCACCTCCTCTGGCTGTTCCTCTTACAACATAGACTGTCTCCACATTTGTCATTTGTCCTAGAGTGGAAGCAACATGGAGGCTGGAACTGTGTCCTGGTCATCTCCAAATCTCCCAGAGCCTGGCATTAGGGATGGGGCTATAAATTAGGCAGGGTAGGGGCGCTTTCAGCAAAAGCTCCTGGGTACTTGACTTGATGTGTGACCATGGCCATTGATCATTTTGACGAAAGTAAAACTTTTTTAAAACCACACATAAGTAGACCCTAATAGAAAGAATAATGGGAGATGGAGGAACATTAAGTTTAATGAAGTGTTTGAAACATTTTATAAAGCAATAGTAATCGAACAGTATGGTATAGGAATATACATAAGAAACAGAGGGAAAGATGTCCAAAAAACCTTTGAATGGTCACCATTTATTAAATGCTGCTGAGAACAGAGCCACCACAAGGCAGGGGCCAGCATCTGCTTCATTCCCCAATATGCGCAGTAGACAATCAATAAATATTTGGTGACTGAATATTCCTGGCACTGAGCAAAATGCTTTACATAAAAGACCTCATTTAATCCTCACAACAACCCAATGAAGAAAGTATTCTTTTCCCTGCTAAAACCAAGGAAACGGGTAGAGAGAGGATAAGTAGTTGTCCAAGATCACACAGCTGGGGAGGGATGGGATTTAAGAGTCCCTTGTTGGATTTTTTCTGCTTGGACTCTCCAACTAGCAGAAAGTGCATTTACAGCAGGGACCCATGCTTTTCTAGATCCTACTATATAATCAATAGTCTGCCTTGGGCCTGGCGCATAACAGGTGCTTGATAAGTGTGTTAGAGGTTCAGGAGAGGGAGGAATTATCCAGAGAGAGCAGTGGGAATGGCACTGGAGATGGAGGGCAAGGGGGCCTGGTCTCTGATGCGAGTGTGTCAGGGGCAGGCAAGGGGGTGGGCAGTGGATTCCCATGAGGTCACCAGAGACTGTCTTATTCATTCACTCCTTGATTCAACCAATGTCTAGGAAAGAGCTGCCACTTGCTGGAGTAGAGCTTGCTTCTGGTTTTCAAGGAGCACTTCAGAAGTTGGCAGAGGTTCCTGAGGCAGGGCCTGGGTCTCCTCAGTTCAGTCACCCCTGGGCACTTTGCACGGTGCCCTGGAGCCTGCTGGGCTCAGAACCAGCTGCCGAGCAGTGGTGAGCAGAGGCCCTGAAGGGGCAGGGAGGCCTGTTCTCTGCCCACCTCTGCCAGGGTTTCACCACATCGGAGCCCTTGGAGGGCATGAAGGAGTCGATGGCGGACACTGAGGGTTCCCAGGCTCCCCCTGGCTTGGCTTCCAGGACTCTAAGGCCTGGGGCTTACCCCCTCAGCCCCTCCTCATCTGGGACCTTTTCTGGGTAAATGAACGTGGAAGCCAAGGGCAGAGGTCACAAAGTCACCTCTGCCCTCAGACACAGCAGGGCTACCTCGTCCTCCACGTGTGCACAGACAAGATCAAAAACACCCACATCTACACCCACCACACTGTATACACTGTGTGAACACAAAGATACATGATGTACACCATGTGCACAGCGTGGGAAGCGCACACACGCACCACAAACCTATGTTTGTGTGGACCCATGTCACGCAGCACAGCGTTCAACACAGCAGCGTTCAACTCACTCATGTACCATGTCCCTGGGTAACACAAACCAACGCACACACAGCACAAGCGTGAGTGTGGCACATGTCAGAGATCCTTTATACAACTGGACACACAATAACCACAGCATGCACACAAGGAAAGCAGGGTGTGCCCAAATGTGTATAAACATTCCATGCATCTGCAGCCATTTAAATGTGACTGACATAAATGTGAACACAAACATATACTGCATGTGCATACAGAGACATACAAAGCAAAGATGCACATGAACTTCAATTCTATGCATATTTCACAGTTTATCAGTTCCTTGGTCAAAAACCTTTCTTTTATACCACACAGCCTTCCCTATGCTTTAAAATGTGAGGAAAAAAATGTAGGGAGAAACAACAGCTTAAGAATTTCCATGAACGCCAGGAGAACATCCTCTTACCAGTGACTGGAATAGATTAATTTTCCCCATTTCATATTCTAATTATAATTCCTTTTCCCATTGCCATCTTCAGTCCTCATTACAGCTGGAAGATTGTTCTGCAAAAGCCAGGCCTTCATCTTCTCTTCCCAAGAGTTTTGTCATGGAAATGAGTTTTGGAATCTGAAAGAACCCACATTTTTGCAAATATCGAATGTGTAGGGATAACCCTTTCAGGACGGCCACCAGGGACACAGCTTACAGGGGCTTCTAAGGAGTCTGTCTCTCCCCTACCTCTCCTTTCCCTGTGTGGTCCCCTCAGGGAAAAGAGCTCCTCAGCCCCTATTCCAACAGCCACCCCCCAACCTAAGCACACCATGCTTCCCCAAAGGATTTTTTAAGGAAACTTAGCAAATAGGCAGCCAAGGTGAAGAGCCCCGATCTTAGAGAGTCAGATCCCAGGTCCATCTGTGCCACGCTGGGCAAATTGCTTA